TTTGAATTTCAGGTCAAAATTATTTTATTTGCATTGTATTTTACTCATCATAAAGATTAAACTTGTCCAAGAGACTATCAGTCGCAATCTAATTGTTCTCTTGAAAAATGGCAAAAAGTGTTCAATCATTTAATCCTTTGTGGCGTGTGTTTGCAGTGATTTTATAGTTTCGCATGCCAAGATATACATTCGCGACCAACAAATTTTTCGTTTTACTAATATTCATTGCCGGTAAAAATGAAGAAAATCTCAAGCTAATTGCCGCAAATTTCTCATGTTAAAACAGGGACAAAGATTAAAAATTTGTCTTGAAATATTAGTTTTGTAACAATTTGTTGTTTAAAATGAAGATTTTCCCATTAAAGTTTAATTCTAGATAAATAATAGACTATTTGCTATTATTATGTTTATTTGAAAACACATGACATGTATCTTGAAAAAAGAAATAGAAAAAATAAAATTTAATATTTCTGCTTCGTGTGATAAATCGTAAAACAATGCATAAAGGAACTCTACAGGATTTGCAAATAAATGAAGTGTCAGTACGTTTTCCATGAATTTTGCACTCTACAACGTTTCTGTGGATATTTTTTTCCCTTGACTGTGTGATTCTTTCCAAATGACGTGTTTTCATGTCACCTGAATATCTGTAAAAAAGATCATGATGAGGTGTTCAACCTCCCGCTGTTGAACTGGTTGATGGTAAATTTCTGGGGCCATTATGTCCAGCATCGCAAGCAATCCATTCTTCTGTCAGAGTTTGTAAGTATTTTAAAAAGGTTATATCGGTATGTAGAGTGAGCTTACGACATGTAATAAATGAGTTGAAGAGAGCGCAATGTACAAGAAACATGAACACTTTTTTATCCACTTTATTGATTTTCGCAAAAATGAATAATATGAGAGATATTGATCAGCAAGATCAACATTTTTCATATATTAATTGTGTTTTACTATATACTCGGGCTTAAAAACTTTTTGTCCAGTTTTTTTATTTACTTCATTAGTCTCCATGAAGTCAGCATTGTGTATCGTTGATATCATTCGAACCTCGTGTTTATCTTTTCATTTGATAGTAAGTACTTCACCTTTCCATCGAAAATCAGATTCAATTGTTTTCAATTTTATACCATTTAATTTCTTTGGAAAACTCTGTTTTTTAGTATTGTATTTCGTATTCGAATCTTTTTTTTCCAATAAGTTTTCAGCTATTGTAATATTATTGTAATAGTTATCCATGTAGACACGGTGCCATAAGTTTTCGTTTTTATTTAAATGAAATGGTATCTTCTAACTTGTAACTTTTTGTACAATACAGCTGAAAGTTGCAAATATACCCACTACTTGCCTCACACGGCATTCTAAGTAGTATTTCGTACTTTGTAATTTTATTCGAATTATAAACACGAAAGGACAGTCTTTCACGATAAGGTATAGCTTCATCCAAAAAAAGTTCCTGTTCAGATTTGTACACAGTATTATACAGAATAGTAATTATTTAAAGAGTAATTTATTACCGGTTCAATTTTGCATAATCTGTTTGGATTTGACGGTATTTCTGCATTATTGGAAAATGCAAAAATCGCAAAATTTGTAGGAATCTATTTCGTGTCATTATTTCCGAAAAGAAAGGCATTGCAATTGACGGACGTGTTGACTAATAATCGTTTTTTGCACTTGACCCACCAAAATATTTAATGCTAGAGATTCTTTCATTTCCAACACTGTAGTACTGGTCCACTTTTCTTTTTTTTTTTTTTTTAACATTTATATCAGCGGTGCATCTGAGCGTAATACCTGTTAGTTTCCATTACAGTCATATAAAATCATTTCCAATAAATGATCCAACAACTTCACTTGCAATACAACATACTTTGAGAATCATTTCAAAATATTTTGACACCTAGATTACCAATAAACACTTCTAAGTTTCTTTTTGGATCATTTTTTGTCCACTCAATGTTTAGTTCTTCATAACCAGAACTACATTCGCTATCATAAATTATCTGCGTTATATTTCTTCGTCTATATTGCATCAATATGTATATATACGTATATATTGCATCACTATCCGCATCACTATCATTAAAAAAAACCACCGGATTTACCTTCGACCTCGAAAATTTCATCAGCATATATTTCTTCAATTTTCAAGCAACTATAACAAGACATGATATGTTAACGTTGCATCATTTAGAAACAGAATTTTCAAAGACGGAAGTTCACATCAGCAGCAACCACGGTCAGTACTTGCAAAGACGTGTATTTACGGCAGCGGCAACCAGGAATAGAATTTGAAAAGACGTGAATTAACGTCAGCGGCAACCAGGAATAGAATTTGAAAAGATGCAAATTCACGTCAGCGGTCGCGAATGTGTTAAGTTATTTCATTTAACAAATCTTGGCTTGTGGCGAATACAAAATTATAGTCAAACACTTCCATCCGCTAAGGATTAAGTTCATCTTATTTACGTAATGCCGACGGTTTGTTTTAACATTTGAATATAGTTCGCTTTTATTATTGTTTATGTCAACTGCATTTGTTAGTATTTCCGCCTATTTCGTTTACGTTTGTAATGTAATGTTTCAGTTCACTGATTACTCTAATAAATTATGGCTTTCATAATAGATAGAATGATAGGATATGGCAGAGTCAATCACTAAATATGTAATTAAATGGTAAAATTAACTGACATATTGGCACACGGAACCAAAACTTCGGGTGACTGTGAATTATCTCACGTCCAGAAAAATTACTTATGAGATTGATAGTAAACACACCGTGCAGTGCATCAGCAAACGCGTTCGCAGTATAAAATTTAAAAAACTTTTTCAAGAAAACGATTACGTTAGAAAACGACCCATGGTTCTTCGAACAAGTTTGATTTTCGTAATGAGTGGAATACAATGTAAATAAAAAAAAATCTTGACTTTGAAATTCAAGATCAAGGTCAATTTTGCGGCAAATACATTTACTTACATTTTTCATCAAATCGAAAATGTAGAATTCATCTATGATAATCAAGATCAAACATCAGAGTATTTCCGAAGGACAAAGAATGTACGGTCACACCTTACGCCAGATATGTATGCCGATCAGATCATCGTGAAGATTTCTAATCGATACAAATTCAACACAATTCCGCCTTTTCTCCAAAAGGAGTGATGCATCTATGAAGATCTTCCTTTATATAAAAAAAAAAAAAAAAAATATTTGGGTTTGCATTGAATAGCAACCCAGGGAGGGGTCGCAGAGTGATTTAATCACATTGTGCGCTAAAATGGGTAAGAATAAGATCTCTCTTACTCAGGATGTATTCAAAAAGAGTTCTCGCATTTCTCTCAGAATGTGCCCACATTCAACGACGAAAAAAATTTTATGAAAATATAGTGTTTATGAATATGTATATGAATATGTCTCGTTATCATGCAATAAAAAATGTTGGGTTCCACTAAAAAATTTTAACACAACCTTTACAGTACAGTATGACATTATTTCAAGGTTGGATATTTACAGAAATAATCACTTAAAATGAACATATTGTAGAAAGTATTGTCATGGGCATTATCATCATGAATCCCATATAATCGTACCAATCTAAACTATATATGTTTGATGAGTATGTATAAATGCAGTTTTCCTCTTTTCCGAAAAAAAGATTAAATTTTAGTATTTTATGACCAAAAATTAAATTGAATGCACATATATTTTGAAATGGCGCCAGTGGCTGATCGGGTTAAAATTGCAAGAGCAGTGAAGAGAAGAGGGAGGGGATCTCAAATAAAATTTTAGTATTTAGCTTCGAGTATTTATTAATTTTCGAGATATTATACATTGACTTTTGTCTCTGTTTGTGGATTGTTTGATTGTTTCTATAAAAATAAAATCAAACCCAATCTAAGCTAGAATTTTTTTTACTTCATTAACTCTTCTACAAAATTATTTTAAGTTCCTTAAAACTATTTCAGGCAAAAGTTTTATACCGTTATTAATAATTTTTTCAGAATATAACAATGCGTTGGTAATTAATTATGAATGATTTTAAGAGTAGCAATTTTACAGATATGTAAAAGCTTATTTAGATTAAATTAAGTTATTTGAAATGAATATAAATAACTTGAAAACTCTCTATCAGTGCAAATTTGTTATTTTATTTGTTTTGGAATGATATAAACATAATAATATCTTTCAAGTTCTTATATTTATTTTTATTATAAACCATTTAAACTTCAAGCAATATCAAGGAATTTACATGAACATTCACTTTGAAGTTCTTTGAACCATTCTTTAACTTAAAAGAAACAATAGCAAAAAAAGGTTACTAGGCAATTATTTACAGCTTATTTTTGTATGTAATATTTTTATAATTAGACTTTTCTGCGAATATCTTTCATTAACATGCCATTTAAAATTAGATTACTTGAATAATAAATTAATAACTGACTAATCTGAATAAAACTCAAGGATACTGTATTTTTTTCTAAAAGAAAAGAATTTTTTTCACTTTCTTTACTTCTTTTATTGATATATACATTATGTTAATTTTGATTAATAACTATATAAAATTTATTTAGAACTCTTTTTTTTAATGTTAATGGCTTCCAAAATAACAAAAGTAAAACTTTACAAGATAATTTTATTCTTTAAATTTAAGTTAACATAATTAAATGAGTGTGTAACCATTATTTGCATCTGCTTTAAAAACCTAGAAAATTTCATTAATGTCGACATTGAATATGAATATTATTTATCAGCAAAATGTGTAAGTATTTATGTATATTATATAAAGCGAAACTTCATATGATTAACTGCCTATTTAAAATATACATTTTCTTTACATAAATTTATAATAAATTATTCATTTAAGATCCTCCATGCTCATTTAACTTATTATTATCTATCATATATTACTATTTTTACATATAATTTATTAAATATGATAACTTGATTATATAAAAATAAATTTTAAAATTGTTTTTCACACTGAGTATACATAAAATCAAATTACTTAACTGTTAATTTTTATTTTCTCTTTATGCTCACTATTTTTTTCATTATTTTCATAATTTTATAAAGTTTATAATTTTCCATATTTAGCTTCAAGTTTCGCAATCAATTCAGAATCGTCAAAATTTTCAATTTCTTCGTCTGTTTCTTCGTCTCCTTCTTTCAACATTTTTTGTACAATTTCCATTTCATTTTTTTGTTTTATCACTGTTATTTCCATTTTTGTTATTTTTTTTATCCCATCTTTTGTTTTTGTTCTCTTCTTTTCCATCTTCTATGCCTAATATTTCCGTCTTTTTTTCTTCTTTATCATCTTGTTTTTGTCTATTTTTTCTTTTCTTTTCTTCTTCTTCTTCTTCGTCTTCTTCTTCCTCTTCCTCTTCTTCCTCCTCTTCTTCTTCCTCCCATCCTTCTTCCTCTTCTCCTCCATTCTCTTGTTCCTCTTCCTCTTCCTCTTCTTCTTCTTCTTCTTCTTCTTCTTCTTGTACTTCTTCCTCTTCCTCTTCCTCTTCCCTCTTCTCCTCTTCTTTGATTTCATCATTCTTCTGTACATCAACCTGTTCTTCTATTTCTATATCTTCTTCTTCTTTCTTATATTTTTTTGTTTCTACTTTATTTCCAATTGTATCTTGCACTTCATATTTCCCTATTTTAAAAATTGTTTGGTTTTTCAATATTATCTTTTCTTCTTTTCTCAGAAAAAATTAACTTAAATTGATTTTAAACAAAGATAACTTCTAAATACCAAAAAAAGTACATGATTAATCAATACATAGAATTTACAAATAAAATGTGATTATAGAATTTTTTAGTGTTTACTTGAAAGTACTTATAGTAACAATTTCTTCATTACTTTTAAACATTTATACGATTCTTTAAAATAGAGTAATATTTCTGTGATCAATTCATAGAATTAATGTATTTTTTATGTAAATGTATAGTAAATTATATTAAAATATAAAAATGTGCAAGTCAAACCAAATTTAAATTTAGCAGATGAAATAATATTATTAATAAATAAAAATAGTATAATCTTCAAAAACTAAATCAGAAATTATATCAGAAGTTTAAGTTTAAATGCAATAAATATAAAATTTATAAAGTATATGTTACAAAATTTACCATTATTCCATCGTTTCACAAGGACAAAATGTGCAGTGACAATAAGTGCCACACCAACTCCAAACTTCATTGCCACTGTAATCATCAGATGTTATTTTTCATTGAAACTTAAAAAATATGATGAAAAATAAAAGAAGATTAACTATTAAAACTTATTGTCCATATTTACTTTATATTTCTCAAAATATAAGAGCATGGAGGATCATTTCACAATATGAAAGGATTGTAATTCAATTTTAGTATTTAGTGACATTTCACTCACCACCAGCAGATTCTTCTTCTATTTCTTCTATTTCTGGCTTTACATCTACATCATTAACATATTCTTCTGATTCTATGCTTTCTACCTAATATAAAAAAGATAGTATAATAATGTGTTATTGTTCAAAAAATTATAGAATTATTCATATAAAAAAGAAAGTATTTTTTGATTTTCTGTAATAATAAAAAAATTAATATATAATTTTTCTAAGAAATAAATTTTATATTTTACAATTGTTACAAAATTTTCTTCTATTTGCTATTAAAAAGAAATAATGAAAAGTTATAGTTTTCTATTTTATATTTAAGAAAATAAAAATTAGAAAGATTCAATAATTTTTCAAATTACAACAAATACAACATTTTCATATTTAATTGTTTAAAATTTATCTAATTTTTTAATATAAGAGAATATATAAGAAATGGTTTTCTATATATATATAAGAAATGGTTTCTATATATATATATATAAGAAATGGTTTTCTATAATTAATATTACTTTGACAGTAATGTCTAATCATATTGATTTTACCTCTTCTAAAGGTTCTATATTATCATCATTAATTTCCTTAACACCAGAAATGTCTAAATATTCTTCAAATATATCTTCGTTTCTTGGCATTTCTAATATTCTATCAAATTGATTATCTACTTCATTTAATACACTTTTTTCATCTGAATCTTTTTCTGTACTAATACCATATATTTCTTCTAATACATTAGTCTCATCAAATGTTGAATCATCATCTTCCAATGTAATTTGCTTCCTACTTTCATATTCATTCTCGTTGCTCAATTCTGTATTGGTATTTTATGTTAAATTTAAAATTTATAAAAATATTTTTAAAATATCTTGGTATTAATTATTGTATGTTAATGTTTTGTATCATAATACCTTCTTCATCTTCTAAAATATCGCTTTGTTCTTCATTTGATTCATTTTCAATTGTTTCTTTATCTTCTTCCGCATATTCATTCAATGTTTCATCTTCTTGAATTTCTTCTTCATTAGAAGCTTCACTTTCTGTTGTTTCTATTTTTCCATTGTCTTCATCAGAGTTCCTTTCATCTTCTACTTGTTCAATGTTTTCATTTTCATTATCGTATGACTCTTCATTAGATAAAGACAAGGAATCATCTACCCACCCATCAAAGATAAAAGCCCAGCGAGAGGATTCTAATGGTGTACTAACTTATAACATGAAATTACATAGTGTTGACACAATATATTAAATAATGGCACTTACTAAAAATATAGATAAAATTTACTTACTGTCTGTAGTGCCTCTATGTTCAATAATAACTACACCAATTAAACCAACAAGCATTGTCAAGACAGCAAAAAATATGATTCGGGCACACCAATGTCCACCTGTAGTACTTTCTTTATAAATATGTATAGTTACGTTGTCTGTTAAATTTTCACTAACATTTCCCACAGGTGATGGTGTAACATTATCTTCTTCATCTAAATATAGTACGATATATTAAATAATTAAATGACAATTATTAATAAAATGATTATTATAATACAATATAAAAGTTATTTAAAAAAATTGCATACTATGCATGCATAACAAACATATTTATGTGTAACAACGTGCTATGCGTTATATATGTAGATTTTTATGTTAATTAAACATTTTTATGTGAGCTACAGTTGAAAAATAATCGAAAAACTCTTTATTTTTTCCTTATGTTTTCAAAATTACTTTTAGATATCGGAAAAAATAATGCTTTTCTTTATTTTCATTTCCTTTATTTAAAACTTATAATATTAAAAAAATTTCATTTACTTTCTTATTCACTTATTTTATTTCTATTCAGTATATATCATTTTACAAAGTTAATAATATTAACAATAATACAATATCAATACCGATAATAATCATTATTATTATTATTTTTCATGATTATTTATCACATATTATTTTTTTACCTATCGAATATTATTTTCTGTAAATTTTCTAACAAATATGTCATTATTAAAGTAATATTATTTTCTCTAAGTTTTGTAATAAATATAAAAGAAATAGCAATTTTATAGTCAATTCTAAAATAATATATAAACTTTAAAATGCTGTCATTTTTTATAATTCATTACAAACTATTTTTTTACAATATTCCTTTACAATATTGTTTATTAATGAAATGTACTTTTGTTTCAACATATGCAATGAATGTAAATATTATGTCAAGTATTCACAATAATTCTTTAATTACTTTAATTTTACTTTTAATTTTAACTATTAATTAAATTAAGGGTATTAAATTACATATTTATTATAAATAGTAATGGATTTTAAAAACACGTGAAATATATAAATAAATTGACGAAAAATGTTTTTAGACTGGATAATATAGGAAGATCTATTTTTGAAAGCCAAAAGCTAGGCTGATCAAACTTCTAAGACCCTGTATTTTCTAATTTCAGTAACATTGCCAAATATGCCTCAAAATATCTGAAATTTTGCATACAATCTAATATTATCGTAAGATACACTACAATGTAATTTAAAATATAAATTCAAAATCAAATTACTTTTTATTGATTAACATAAAAGAGCATAAATTTAACTAGAAAATCTGTAATGATTTCGTATTTTCAAATAAAAATAAGCGATATCCATGTATAGAACTACATACAGACGCGAAGAAACACACACATAAGAAATACGCACGTGAATGTGTATATATGTACACGTATATGCTACAATTTAAACAGAAAATGGGCTTTTTCATAAATCCTTTTCGTAAAGTTTCATCAATCTGTACAATGGTAAATGAATTGTATAGTAATATATAAAAATTAAAATCAATTTATAATATCCAAATAATTTTTTTAACTATATTTTAGCATGCTAATGTTAAAATTATACAATTCACGAAATATTTCACGAAAAATATACGAATTATAATTCATAATTATTTAACAATTGTGTAGTAATTGTGTAATATATGAAATATATTATGAAATGTGATATACATACATATATAGACGTAGATAGTATATATACTTAATATGTATATATACGTATGCATTATATAATATTTCAGTATTAAAATTTGTAAAATTAAGTATCAACAAATAGTTTAACAAACATTATATTTATCGTTTGATATTATTTTGTTGTAATTTTTTTCGAATGTAAAACAAAATATAATTCTTTAAATAAACGCAATTTATTTTAGAAAATGAACTAAAGATTAGCTTGATAATTATATTTTTAAGTATCTTCTATGATAATTTTAAGAATCAATGAAAACATTGTTTCTTGATATTAATAAATACAAATGTTGAAATTATAATAATTCTCTCACACTTTCAGTAGCCTATTTTTTTTACCCTTTTTACGTTTTTTCTCTTTCCGTTTTCTCGCCTGAATATCCCCAGACATCTTCTGCCAGCAGATATACCCGTACTCTTTAGAATAAAACAAACGAAGGAAAATTAAATTTTTAAAAAGTCGAACACACGGAACCACGTCTATAATAATTTGATTTGTAATGACTTCAACAAGTGTTGACATAATACGAAAATCCCTAGTTACTGTACCCGAACATTTCTTCGATGTTAGTTCTCAGTACTTTCCAAACCTTTTTGTATATTCAAAATTTGCGAGAAAAATGTGTATAATGAAATATACGTGAAAATAAAAGCTCAAAATTAGAAAGAACAAATTGTTTTATAAATTTATAATGTATTTACAACATTAATTATAATTTAAGATGTAAATATCGAAAATGAATAATTTTAATATTCCTAGTAAAAAATAATATAATTTACAAATTACTAGCAAAAAGTAATTAATGATAATTTCTTATCAAACGCGTATAATTTATTATCAATTACAAACATATATTCTAACAAAGAATGAATCAAATTGTAGAAGTATATTTAATTAAAGGGAAAAAAAAAAGATTTAAATCAATATAACCATTATAAATATTGTATTATTATATTTAGTTACAAAATCACAAATTTATATTCATTAACAGAAGGTATCATTAATTTATACAATAACATTTATATCATTAAGACATGCAATATTTATTCATTGTATTATTTAATGTATTTGACAATATATCATGAAATATAGCAAAAACAAAAAGAAAAGGATAAAAATGCAGTGTATTTACAATATATTAATAAAAACTGAAGACAAATAAAATATTTCATTTATGTGGAGTTATATATGTATATTACAAAAGAGATGCAGAATAAATATTTCTATATATTATTTTAGTAAATTTATATTTTATATATATAATCTTAATAAAATATAATTAGTGGATTTGTGATCCTTTATATATTTTTTATATTTCTTTATATTTTAAAAAATTTTGCTTTGCAAAGTATCAATTTAACAATATTTATTACTAAATTTACTTCAAAGATTTGAAAATCTATTATATGTTGCTAAATTTGGAAACATTGTATGTGTGTGTGTATATATATGTATGTGTGTATAATATTAATACTTAAGTTTTAGTTTAACTTCATTTCAACCTCAAGTCAAAGAATAATAATACCAATCTTAACCCAAAGAAATAATACAAAATTACAAACACAATTCAGTTTACAAAAACTTTAAAATGAACTTTAAGAAGAATTAAAAAATATTCCAAATATATATAAAACATAGTGTAATCAGAATATATCATAAATATAATACATACATATAATATACTATTTTATTAGCTACATATTTTCAGGAAATATTAATATGGCTTACATTTTACATTATAGGTATAAGATCAATAATTCATGTGATATAAACAGATTACTGTTTATTAATCATCCTAATATGTTATATAACAATCTCTTTCTCTTTTTCTTTCAATTATCTGGTTACTTTTCTGTAAAAAAAAGTTCATTTTATTTATTAAATCTTTATCATGTTAAAAACAATTTGAAGTTATTTGACAAAACTCGAGACTGTTAATATAAAAATTTCATTTATCATATAATTTTATAAAATAGTTAATAATTAATATTGAATATATATTCTTTGAAAAAAGATTGTATATTTATTGAGATATGCAGTATATTTTTAAGTAAAATATAATTTAAAAAAAACCAAAAGATTTGTAACAAGATGTTGATTACAAATTTTGTACTCTTAAATAAAATTATATAAAATTATATCACAACTATATATATTTTCTATGATAATAAATAAAGACATAATGAATAAACAACATTTAACAAATTGAACAAAATATAAATAAAACTTTACTAAAAGAGCAGTCTTATTGATATTCATAACATTTTATAATTATAATATTAGCCTTGTAATATTAACCTTTTGTTAAATGTTTCAAATATTAAAAATTTAATTTTAAGTTATGAAAATATAATAATAACAATATTTACAAATCTTATGCATAAACATTTAAAATTTATTTTATTCATTCATTTAAAACAAATAGTATACAAGATATTCTGAAAGAAAATTGAATAACTTTATTATAATTGAATAACCAATATGTTAATTTCTTATAGTCACACATACTACGAGTTTTGGTTCCTTTTTGAAGTAAACCTTATTTATTGTATATGTTCAGTATGATACAAGTCTAGATTTTACATTCGTGTTATTTATATTGAATATAATTCTGCTCTAGAAATCTACTAAAATTATTTAAATCAATTTCAGTGGATTTTTTTTAATCATTATATGAAACTTAAGTTTTAAACAGTATAATTTATATATAATGCAACTAACAAATATCTCAAATATAAAAGTTATGTACATTACAATGTTGAATAAAATTTACATATAGGAAGAAAGATGGCACATGAGACATTTGTTTTAGAATTTAGAGTATAAAAATGAAAGTATGTGTGTGAAATATCTCTAAAATTTTTTTTAAACAAATTGATAATATATAAAAGTCAATCATGAATAAATATGTTAATAAAATTATATATTTCTTCTGGAAGGAATGTATGTCTATTTTATTACTTTCAATCTAAAGACATCTTTATGAGAATAAATGCAGCGAAAGATATATATCTGTTTTATAAATCGTACACATTACAAAAAAAAGAAAAAAAAGAATAAATTAAATGAAAATCTTATAAAGTTTAACAAAATATGTTAATATAATTATATATAACATATATAATTTATAATTTTATACATATTTTTCTTCTATTATATTACATTAAGATACAAAAACGAATTTAGAAACTACTATTAAAATAATATTTATAATACCACTATGTACAGATTAACTTGTATTAATTTTACATTTGATACTGTATTGTATTATTTGATTTCAGTCTATAAAATTTTTCTAATATTCAGAACATATATTTTGCTTTTTACAAGCACCTATAAATTACAATTATACACATTAATTATTAAAAGCACAACATAAAATAAAAGTTTTATAAAACTACAATTTTATAAAAATATAAACAAAATAATAATTCAGTTAAAAATATATTGTACATATATAAATATCTTGATGAATATTATCATAATATAATATTTCTCTAATAATGAGAGTGCTAATTTAATCTATTAACAATATAGTTCACTATTTTATTTATAGATACATATTTCTAATTTTTTTAATAATGAAACATAAATAAATAAATAAAAAAAGATTTATTTAAAATGTCATATTTTATAGTGCATGGTAATTATTAAAATATTCTAATCACTTTTTGAAATATTGCTCATATTGCGCATATTTCTATTAATAACGGAGCTATTACAGAATTTGTGTAATTTAATAAAAATATACACATAAATCGTCATTGAAGAAAAATCAACATCATATAAGATAAAATCCTACAGTATATTTAGTTTAAATGCTTTTAAAATATTGAAATATATTAGAAAAGTAAATTGTTTACATAAAAAATAATTTAATTAAATATAATAATAAATTTTTGCATAAAAAATATTGAATTTAAAATATATAGAATGAGTCATTTTAAGTTAAAACTATAAATAGTTTAGTTATCCAATTTAATTTTGGTATAAAAATATATTAATAAGAATTTGTTAATTTTTGTTTAAGATTTCATGATTCAACACTTACTGAAATTACTTTTGTAATGTAATTTTTTTAAAGTAAAACAATACATGTTTCTTATTGCAATCATCATAATTCACCAAAATAGAAATATAATCCTATAATTCGTTCCATTTTCAAATTTTCCTTTGAAATGTTGTAAAAAAGATGTAAAAAAAACTATATTTTTATTTCATATCTTACATATATGTTAAACTTATATTAAAATTTAATTAATTGTCTTTTATTGAACGAAAATTTATTTATATTTAATATTCTAATATTAAAAATACAAATACTCATGAATTATATATTTGATACGAAACAAACACTATATAAGAAATTTTTTTTTCAAGAATATTAGATGGATTTTTCACTAATAAAAAAAGATAATTATATAAAACATACATGCTTATAATTTTTGTTGTATTTTATATATACACATAAATATTTTATAATAATCTAATGTGTAAATTGTCTAATTTGTCTAATTTTAAGAAGTGCATTCATTTAATGCTTAAAATGACAATAATATTCTTTAAATCATATTAATAAAACATTTTTTCTATTTTATAAAATAAATAATTTTTAAACCAATTTTAAAAATCCAATATTTCATTTAAAATTTTTTTTTAATTATTATTAAATGATCACTTAATGACAGTAATTTTAATTAGCATTATTAGATAATTATATTGCTATTATCAATAATTGACCTGTTATAAATTTATGATGTAATGTAATTTAATATGTTGAAGTGATAACACACACAATAAGTTAAAAAAGTAAATTAATATAATCCTTAATATTTTTTTATATAAAGAAATAGTAAATAAATTAGTAATTTAATTCATTTAAATAAATGAAAATTTCATAATTATGAAAATTAATTTTCATAATTAAAATAAAACATCAGTTAATTTAAAGAAGAAAAATAAGCAATGGAAACAATTTTGAAATAAAATTAATTATTTATAGAATATTTAATTTATAATATTATTAAAAAATTATTAAAAAATTTATTAATTTAACGTCAAATTCATTACAAATAATATCAAAGGCATACAAAATTAAATTACATTTTTCATAATTAATAAATCAAATAATTATGCATTTTAATTATAAATCACGTTAATTAGTAGTTTTTTTAATAGTCTTTCATAACTTTCTTAAATTATCCAGAATGTACTAAATTTTTATATTAAAAACATAAAAACATATACTTCCTATTATCAGTTCCGTATTTGAAAAAAAGAAAATTTATTACCTAATATACCTAATATAGTGTAATATAAAATTAAACAATTTATAAATGCAATAAGCAATACAATAAAACAATTTATTAGACTGTTAAAGAAAAATCATTTAAGATGATTCTAGAAATTATGTCGTATAGCTTAATAAGAGACATCATTTAAGTGACAGTTGCTGATTTTTAATAAAATTTGTAATACCATTTCACAGATAAAAGAATATATATTATGAACAAACAGGCAAGAAATAGGA